CACCAAATCATAATTTGTCATTTCTGGGCTGATGGCTCTGTCCCTCTGATTTGGCCACCCACTGGTGACACCCAGTGGGTTCCCGGGCAGGACCCAAATATACCTGAAAAGCATTAAGTCCATGGCTGCTGAGGAGGCTCATGAGTACCAATACCCGCAGCCAGTGAATTTGCCCTCAGACTGAGGAAGCACACAACCCCTCTGCTCAGACCTCATGCAGGGTCCTCGTGACCATATAACTGTCATCATTATGTTAAGCTTCAGGTCGATGAGATGCTTCTGCCCATTGGTAACCTGTGCAGCGGAGGCTACCTCACCTATTTCTTCCCCTTGCTTCTTACTGTGCTTTTAATTAATTTAGTGGACAAAGTGATTCTGGTATCTTAAGTTCATATGTGCAATTTTCTGTCCTGAAAACTCTGGGAATGCCCGGTTGGCTGTGAGTCTGAAGCTAAATTGCATCAGGATTGTTTCTCTGACAACCATACCATGAGAAAACCACAGGAAATCTAATGTGCTTGGAATATTAGGCATGAGTTGCAGAGTGAGGTGAGACGAGGTGATAAAAGCAATCACCGATCAAATCCTAAAAGGTCCTTCCTACCAAGCTCTGGGGTAAAGAGTTTGTCCCTTGGGTCCTGAAGAATCCTTGAAGGATATTGCAAAGCAAAACCCTGCTCATGTTTAGGATAAGTCGGAAGGACTGCAGAGAGTGAACTGGAAGGGACTGGGGTTAGACGCAGTTGGGACAGTTAAGAGTGCTGCGCAGTACCAATGAGAAATAAAAAAGACTAAGCGGGGTCTTAGCTGTAGGGCTGCTGAGAAGGAAACAGACTCAAGGGACCATGAGTAGGAAGACAAGGTGACGTGAGGGCTAACTGCAAGGCACCAGAGAGAGAGCCAGGCTCAGACGTCACTTCGGGGGATGAAGAACAAGCAGGGCAGAGCGCTGAGGCAGGCGCTAAGCTCATTTTGAGTCCAAGGAGGTGAGCTCAGGCAGGTGCACTAGACTGCTGGGCAGAGGAGTCTGAAATGCAGGAGAAAGAAGGGGCTGAAGAGGTAGACGAGGAATTACCAGGAACCACTTCAAAATGAAGACAAAGGAACAGATGAGCTCACCTGGGGACTGTGTACCATGAACGCAAGTAAAAAGGGAACAAAGGGAGTGTGCAGAACCCCAACATTTATGAAAAGTAGAGATAAACGGAGTGCAGGAAGGAAGGCAGGGAAGAGGCACTATGTCAAGGTGACGGGATTATTTTGGTGTTATGAAAATCATGAAAAATGTCTCTATATAAATGCACAAAGAATAGAAACTACTGCCACAAAGCAAGAACCTTCTGACATTGATATTTACCAAATGCATACAGTATCAGGTGCGTTTTTAATCGAGCATTATGACTGTGAATACAGCATTTCTCTTTAAGATGCACCCTCAAAAAGCAAGTTCACATTGCCACCAAAGAGGGAGAAAAAATAATGTGATGCTTTTCTCCCACATGCAATAACTCATTTTCAAAGCATTAGCAGGGACTTAATAAATGTTTTTTAATTGAAAAAGGAAATTCACAAGTGAAGGCTAGAACTGGTAAGCATAATAAAATAAAGACAAATGATGATCATTACTTTCCTCTTCCAATTCAGTTTATGTCTATTACAGATCCACAGACATTATAGCTTAAATAAATCTCAAAGTGGTATAAATGATTCGCTATTTTTTGCCTTAGTTAAAAGTCACAACAGAGTACAAACAGCAGGCCTAACAGCCCCAGCTGGCTTTTCTATTTGTAATCTTGTTTGTACTCTAGCAGTTGAGAGAAAAATGATTTTTCTACTTTCTCCAAAGAACTAGAGTCAGATGAAGGTCTAAGGTGTTAAATCTGAAGGGAACACTGCTTGAAAGGTAATCTGACGACACCATCCACGCATGCGTGCTCTGTCTTTACCCACACGTGACCGTACAGCCAAAAGCTGAAGGCTGCCGGGTGGCGTGCCTGCCAGGCAAGAGCAAAGCTGCTCTTCTTTCCAAGGCAGCATCACTGCCAACTGACTGTCGCCTTGGAAGGGGCTGCGCAGAGCTTGTCTAGCAGCAGATGGGCGAGGGATGCTGTCGCCAGTGGCGGAGCCGATCTGGGGCCCACTGTCTTTTGCATTTCTCTGAAGCGCCACGCCTTCTAGCCCCTCAGCAGCCCGGGCCCGGGCACCAAGCAGCAAACGGAGCGCGCGCCAGCTGGCCCAGTCCCCATGCCGCGGCCCCGGCAGAGAGGACTCGGTTCCAGCTGCACGGAGGGCATCAAAGGCCCGGGCCGCAGGGTGCACCAGCGGGGCCGGAGAGTCTGCCTCAAAGTCGCCACTCACTGTGACTCCCCGCTTCGAAGTATTACTCACATTAGCTTCTCCTTAAAGTCAAATTTATTGGGATTTTACAAGGCTTTGGTCACTTGCTACTGTCTTCAAGTGTAGGGCGAGATGGGCTTGGGTTTCTTTCTTTCCCTCATTTTTACATTATGTCCATTATTTCCGCTGGCTGGAAGCAGCCGGGGTCAGCGAAGCGTCAGCGTCAGTCTCTCCTCTGCTCCCGCCCCCACCGCCCCAACAGCCAGCATTTCTGCCTCACGCCCCCAAGCTGACCATCACTCCCACAGGTGAATAAAATCTAGCACGCCCATCCCAGGCTCATCCTGCCATTCAGTCACTTACACATCTGTGCCTCGCGCCTCCTACTGGTGTGACTGGGAGCAAAGGTCCGGGACCCCAACACGCCCAGCTCACTGCGGAAGTCACGCTGGTGCCCGTGACTTGGAAAGACACTGGGCTCTGCTCCGGGAGCACCAGAAGTCTCTGCTGAGGGTGCCATGAACTGCCAGTTGGCAACTGCTGCTCTAGGATTCTCTTTCTCGCTGTTAATTATAACAAATGTCGCATCAATTTAGGTACAGAATGATCATGACAACACTGAGGAACTTGCCTAAAACTGGTTATGTGGTTGGAGGGAGATAGTAAGGAGAAAGAATAATCTTAGTTTTATTTATCCGCCAAGTATATTTTGAGTTTTATAATGTGTTCTATATTATTCACAGCATGAGTTTCCATCTGAGAACAAGGCAAATATATTCTCTCCTGAGAATATAGATTTTTAATGCAGAGACATGGCAACAAGCAACAGTACTATATTTCAGTGTTATAGAGAGAAGGTGTTGAACATAGTACTTCAGGGTATACTGTGCGTAAGTACTGTGGAACAAGCCTGTGTATGCATGAGCACTGAATCTGTGTAACACCTCTATGTGGAAAATTGTGACACACTTCTAAGAAACATAGAAGTACACACGGACAAACAGGAATGCGTATCATGCCATGGACATTTTAGCAGTATAAAGCCTACTGTCCACCAATAGCATATTTAAAATCCCTTTAAATTATTGGCTTTCTTACACATTATCAATTATATATGATAAAGTGTTATGGACTTGTTACATTATGTGAAATGTGGCTCATGAATTGTCTTACGCTTCAAAATATAAAGGAAGAGAACTTCCAGGCTAAGACTAGCTCCTAGGCCAAGAGGAGGGTTTCTATATATATTAACCATCTAAAAGGCCAGCGGATGACCTCAGATCCCTAATTAGAACACAGCATATTTATTTTCTTGTTTCCAGCTGTAGGACTCCAGTTGGCTTGCACCCCCAAAACACATATCAGCATGGATGGCTGCATGCGTTTGGCAATAGCCAGCTCTGAAAAGGCGCTCTGATTTCACCAGCAGGGCTGGGAGCTGTGTGAGGAGAATGTAAAACTGCACCAAACAAAAACCAGTTGACAGCAAATAAATTGGAACCAATAAGTAATCATCGAGCCTTATCATTTAATCTCTGCAAGAAGAAAGACAGATATTCTGGGCCATTCCTAGCCAACAAAAACAACCATTTAACACCCTGGTTTCGATTACAGGGTGTGCGTGGCACTGGGATGCCCTGTCATGGCGTGAGTTATTCTGATGGATGACCCTGGCAAACAATTTCTCCCAAATGAAATGAATCACGGCTGATGAGGTCTCTCTGGATGAGAACACGCAAACATTCACTGACGCCACACGTACACGTCTCCGGGACAATGTGGGGAAGAACGCCAATCGCACCTAGTTTCTGTACAGTGTCAAATGAAACAAAAGTAGGAATTGTAGCTACTTACATTTTTAAGGAGATTATGATGGAGAATTTAAATAAAGGGTAATTATAACCCAAAGCATAAACCGTGTCCTGACTTGAAAAACAGGCGTGGGCAGCGTTCTGTTGACATAAACTGACCACAAATGCTAAAATCCACCTTTCTCCGCCTGGGTTGCTCACCCAGATTCTGCAGATTTCATATTTCCTGCACCAAGAATGAAGCCCTCTTAAGAATAACAGGAGCTACCTATATAAATGTTAGATCACTTTTTCTATAAAACCATATTTTTCTATGTAGAAGTGTATTCCTTTCGTTCCTTTATGGAAGTATTGCAACAGGACGAGGGTAGATAAGGGAGAAAAAGAGAGGGGCATGGTACATTGGCAAATCTGCAAGTTTCATGTCAAGTTACACCACAATTGCCCTGGTGTCTTGAACATCCTCCCTGAGAATGAGAACAAGACCTTCTTCCTCAGGCCCAAGGCGGGACACGGGTGTGGCATTCCTTGCTCATCTGCTTGCACTAGTTGTTACTAGTACAACTAGCTACAATAATGCACGGGTTCTTGGATAATCTCCTTTGTTACTGGTGAACCTTTTTCGGTGATATGAGTGCATTTACTGAGATCCTCAAAACCATCACCATCCCTGCTGCCTTCACAGCCAGCACCACCACAGTGTCACATCACTGTCATCACCATCATCACAATTATCATCACCATCATTCTCATCATCACTGACAGCATCACTATTGTCACCATAGTCACCATCACCATTGACATCATCACCACCATCATCACCACAGTCAGTGCCGTGATCACCATCATCCTCCCCATCCTCACTATCATCAATGCCATCATCACCACCATGGCAATGGCAGCAGGACACAGAGCACATTTATAAACTGACTTCTATCTTTTAAATACATCATTAATCCTCCAAACAAACCTACAAAGTCCACCAAAATTGTTTTCATGTAGGAAAAATACGGGCTTAGATCAATCAGGGTATGTAGGAAGCTTGTGCAGCTCCTCCCATTAGAAGGGAATAAATCAACTCTTTCACCCACGTGTTTTTTGATGCTGCAGTTCTTTTTCCCCCTAAGCACACCATCTCGGTGAGTATAAATGATGTGACATCTGAACCTGAGCCAGGAGAAAGGATGGTGTCCAACTCTACAGAATGATGCACTTAGGAGGGGGGTGTGGGGATTGTCTATTTTCTTCTACCACTCAAAGCCCTGCCCATCCATCCTCAGTGATAATACCAACCATGGCATTTCTGTGGCAACTGATGGACCACCAACACTACCAGTGTGATAGCAGACTACTCATTACCTAACAATTTTACTGTTAGGCTGTTGGATGACAGATGCCATGCAGCCTATACTCATAACTGTCATGTTATGTGGCATTTATAAACGACCGATAAGGATCCAGTACATTACTAAATATCCAAAATGCTTGTGTAGGAAGTGTAAAGTGTGGTACGCTGCATTCATTTGCATGGGCTCCCAGAGCTAATGGTACCAGCCTCTTCCCAGCACCAGAGTTGCCATGTTGGAAACCTGAAAAGGCCCAGGATGAATTTTCCCTTCGCAGAAACCAGAAATGTTACAGTCAGCATTCACAACCAGCTCCAATGGGTGTGTCCATACTTCAGAAACGAGGAACGTGACAGAAGTCAGAGTTAAAGAGGACACGCACGCTTCTGCCTTTAGACTCAGGTGAGCCAACAATGGGCTCAGTTTTCAACAGCCCCAGATTTTGTTCTGAGCCATGAGGCGAGCTAGCAAAATTCTGGTGAGACACTTCGATTCCTGGTCTCTGCTTTATCTGGGAGCACGGATACCGGTTTCCACTCACCACTTAACAAACTCACATGATTTTCTCTTGAGTGGTTTGAAAGTTAGTTGTAAAATGTGTGCTAAAAATACATAAAATTGTATTATTCTGATTTTAATGAGAAACAAAAATGAGACGATAGGAAGAAACCCAAGATTCCCACATCCATGGAAGAATTCTGTGTTGTAGCTATACTGTGAAGAAAGCACGGAGACTCAGACTTGCCATATAATGGTGCTTGGTGAAGCTCAGGTGTCAGTAAAACGCTACCACAGTGAATATTTTCTCTACAAAGCGTTCAGAAAACCAGTGAGGGAGCTACAGAGTCAGAAACAGAGTGAGGAATTAAACCTGAAGAGCCAGCCCTGTCTCAAACAACTTCATTGAAGGTCGTGTGTCAGAGACAAGGGGAGAAGGAAAGACAGAGTTTTTTTAGAGAGAGAAGTACTTTCTCCATGATAGTACACTGTCACATTATATATTATAAAGTTTTAGAAACTATCTTCCAGGTCCTCTTGAACTTCTTTCAACATTTAAAAAAAAAACTGTATTAGAAGAGTTTCTTTTCACAAAGGCTTCCCAAGAGGATAGTTTCAGTTTATTTATAATAAGAAACCAGGACAGAAAATGGACAGATGTGTTCAGGAGGCAGCCCCAGGGTGACCACCGCTGATTCTGCAACTTTCAGTCACACTGGTGCCACTGTTCTGGGCCACATGTTGCAGGTGGCCCCAAACCTGATTTTTGTCTGTACCTCCACCATATGACACTATCAACAAACCGTCAGACCCAACAGGCTTGACGGAAGGAAGGCCTGCACTCATGGAGAAAGATGGGGGAGCATCACACCTAGGAGGAACACTGCTCCTCCATGACCAAATATCTCAGCCTCCATTCACAAGTCAGCAGTGCCTACCATGCTGCACATGCAGTTTGGTCAAGCATTATGTAGCAAATGTTCTCTACATATGTTCCAGTGGGGTCTCACAGAAACCATGAGTTCTCTGTCTCTACAGAAACAGCGAGCTGGGTATCTACACAGAAAACAAAGCTTAGGTATCTCCACAAGTACTATGAGTGTGACAGAAGTTAGCTATCTCCACAAAAGCTACAAGTTGGATATCTTCACAAGAACTATGAGTTAGTTATCTCCCCAGAAAGAAATTAGGTATTTGCAAAGAAGATATGCATTAGGTAACACAAAAAGCAATGAGCTAGACATGACCATGGCAACAGTGATTAGATATCTCCACAGAACTGTAAGCTAAATATCACCACAGAAATTATGAATAGGTATCTCCCCAGATGAGAGTAGTTAGTTATTTCTGAAGATACTGAGACAAGTATCCCCAAGGTAAGTATGAGTTAGATACCTTCAGAGAATCCTGGAGTTAGTTACCTCCACAAAAATCAAGAGTTGGTTATTTCCATAGAAACTATGCATTAAATAGTTCCCATTCCCCTACAGCTAAAGGTTTTTTAATCACACAGAAAGTGACAAAAGAGAACTGGCTTCCTGTTGTGACTTCATGTCAGGGCCTCTATCACTAGCTTCTCCATCCCAAGGTAAAACCCAACCCTTCCTTTCCCATAGTTCTTATTTTAAATATGACTCAAGGATCCCTTTCCCTCTTCTCAATACCTTAGGGTTCACATGCCTGGAAACACCTGGGGCCTCGACCCTGATCAAAGACGACCTTCGAGGGTAAGAACTGACCTCCACACATTACCTGCAATACATGTGGTCACAAAGTGGAATATTTATTAACACGTGCAAGTGGTTAAAACAGTAAGTGTTAAACATTGTATAGTATAAGATGATAAGAACAAAGAATGCATAGTTCTCTTTTAACTAAAAAGCATTAGCAGAAGCCATTGATTTACTTTTGTTACAAAAGAGAATTTGAGGCTCTATTTTACCAAAATATATTTTTATGAGAGTATATTAAAAAAGGATGAAATTACTTATGGGGTATTATTGAGCATTTTACACTCTCAATAAACAAACATTATTGCAGTTAATGTTTCATTAAAAACTTGAAAATCCTTCTCTTTTCAAGCAAACTGTCCTGAAGAACTATTCTTCATTATATTGACTTAACAATTAATTTCCTTAACCTTCCTAAATATTCATCTGATAGTTTCTGTAGACAAAGGCTTATTCTATTTGACATCGAAAATAATATTTATTAAAATTAGCAGAATGTTTTAGAATGAGATCAAATAACAAATTACTGTGGAATATAAAACCATGTTTTATCTGTTTATATCTATCTTCAGGTTGACATTGATATGCTCATTGTAAAAAAGTTGCAATAGTCATAAAATACTAAAATCCTGTAAAAAGAGTCTACCTAAAAAGTAATAATGCTATAAAAGGCAAATAGATGTTTTTCCCTGATTTGTACCTTTATTCCAGTTACAGAAGACTCTGTTTCTCAAGTAAATTATTAAATATTATAAGAATAACCAATTTTCTTTTTACTGTCTTTGTGGAAATGTTCCAATGCCTCATCAATGTATCAACAGTAACATTTATAGCATGTCAATGTGTTTTTTACTTCCTGGAAATGTGTAGAAGATTTCAAAGTAAAGGCTGGTCCCAGGAATAAATTTCCAGCTTTAAATCATTTTAAGAAATACTACAGAATATGAGACACCAAAGAAAGTTATAAAGCCAAACATAGATAAATGTTTTATTAAGAAATTAATATGAATTCCTGAATCTAGAATATCTGAGGGCTTATTTGTATGTGTTATGTCAATTTTACTGAATGGTAAAATATTTATGGTAAAATATTTAAAAGAAAAAGGAAAAGAAATATTGAACTCATGATTTTTAAAGCATGAAACAAAAACTGAAATAAAATAGCTTGGGGAGCTATAATCAGTCATCTACTAAATATTACAGTACATCAAAAAATTCCATATAGAATAGTGTATAGGAAAGTATTATATTCTAATATTTATACAAATATGAAAACTTTCAAGATTTACTTCTAAAGCCATGTATAAGAAATGTATAGATTTTTACTTGAGTTTACCAATTTTGATTTGGATAATATTGCAACAAATGGCCCACATTGATGGGTCATCCAAGGCTTTTGAGAAATATTGAGTAAAAAAGCATTCTGTAATAGCCAACTGTCCTTCAAAAATCTCCAAATCATCCCGACAATGACGATACAGACCACCTTAATGAAAAGCACACCATTCCATCTGGATATTTATCTCCCTTGTGAATGTTCCCTAATCTCCAGCTTGCCACTAAGTATGCGTGTTCTGAGTAATAAAATGAAGTTTCATGCTCGCTTAACATCTTAGAAATTAGGTTTTGTGATACATTCATGAATAAGACACAACCATCTTCTTAGCTAATGAACTCCAAGGCTGTAATGTCAGGAGAGTGCTTGGTATGGAAAAGCACAGGTTTTGCCTTCTGATCCAGCTCAGCTCAGTGGACTTGCTTCCTAATTGTGGAGCTTCAGAAGTCGACTGCACAGCATCCCTGTCACAGCTATCACAGGGACAAGAGAAGAAGTGGGTCTGCTAGATTCTTCCCAGGACAGTCCCGTCCAGCATACCCACCTTTACATGCTCCTGTTCGCGAGTGGCACATGGTTCTCCAGTGCTGTGGGTCTTAACAGAATGGAGCCTTAGAGAGCTGCTGTTCAGAATCACACAAGGTCTGAACAGCTCCACCCTGGTGGAGAGGCATAGCCAGGTGCACCATGCAGCCAGGCACGTGCTCCTCATCCTCCCTGGCTCATTTCTTTGGGATGACACCTTTGAGTGCTACTCCTAGTAAAATGAAGACTGTTTTCACGTGAGCAAAAGGAAAATGTCCTTGTTTCACATGAGAGCAACCATTCTTTTAATGTTCTGCCAGATTTTCCACAAAGTTATGTCCATAAGTCATTCAACTTCACATTGTGTGCCACTTGGTATTCCTGTTGACCAGGACATGACTTGCACATACTAATACACTGTCTGGAATTTTCACACTTGTGATGTCCAGCAAAATGTAGTTTGTTCAGTACAGTCTAGTTGGTGCAGACTCATCCATCAGTGCTACTAGAAAAGGGATGAATCTAGTAATATAATTATTTTAAAAACCTAGCTGATCAGCATCCCTCAAATTCTCTTTTTTTTTTTGGTTTTTCTCCGGTACCGGGAACCGAACTCATGACCTTGCGCTTGCCAGGCAGGCGCTTTTGCCACTGAGCTAAATCCCCAGCCCCATCCCTCAAATTCTCTAAACCCTTCCTAAGAAGATGCCCCTGTTACAAAATTATTCATTTGGATTTTCAGTGACAAACACTGATTGCATACTTGTGATACACAATGACACCAATGATTTCATACTCTCTTCCAGCTTCCTCTGCACCCTTTGAAAATTATGCACGTACAGGGCCAAAACAAAAGCAAGGAAAACATGTGTGCATTTCCTCTCACTGGACGCAGTAACAAAAGCTGAAATGAAATATCGATCTACTCTTTCCACTGAGCTTTCTGAGGTTTGAAACCAACCTCTCCTTAGCTGTGTACAGAGCAAAACCAAAAATTGATTACTGCTCACTTCTCGACCTAAGCTTCATGGATCTCCAGTGGTTGACTAGTTAATTAAATACGGTAACAGAATTCCAGATTAGAGCCCTCTTCATAAGCATGCCATTAATAATCCCATTTTTCAATGTAGGAAACATCTGCACATAACCACTGTAATATTCCTTCTTAACTATAGCATTCTATTCACTAGCTGACAGATCATATGTTATCTGACCCACAGGGAGACAGATCATCAATTTACAATTCCTTGTCCTGCTTTCCTCTACAGATCATGAACTTTAATACATGTTTTAGGCTTTCATCATTCATTTGTGCAAATCATAAAATGCCAGCTCTCTAAGAACTGAAAACTGAGTGGTGGGGGTGGTGTGGAGTCCACACATTGTTACTTGGCCGGTTCCATGGAAGCCCGGGCCCTACGGGGCTCAGCAGCGGACAAAACGATGGCTTCTTAGGTTGATTAAACAGCTTGCTCTTCCACAAAGCAGATATTGGGCACTGGGTGTCTGCACACCGTGTAAATTATTAATTTTAAGAAGAATATTTTCTTAGAATGATGTCTTTAGAAACACAGATCAAATTCATTTCTTTTAAATCAAGTATAGAACACGAACCTCTGGAAGGTGACTTCTTTGACACAGGGCATCCCAGGCACTGTATTTTTGAACCTGATCATGCAGCAAGAAGCAGCAGGTGGCAAAACAGCAGGTGGGAAGCCAGCAGGGAGGGCGGAGTGGCATGAGTTTAGGCCAGAGCTATGGACACGGTTAGTGGGAGATGCTGCTCTAGTAAGAGAATTAGAGACAGGAAAATGTAAGACTTGTGTCCTTTCCTTTTCAAATTTAAATTGAATACTCTTCCAGACAACAGGTGCCCGATCCAAGTTTGGAACTGGCACCTGGCAGAGTGCAAACAGCAACTTTATAACACAGAGTTCATGCGAGTTTCTTTTATTCGCTTCACACTTTGATCTGAGTACTCCAGCCACAGTACTGAGCGCTATGGACAAGGAAGTCTTACTCTTTAAGATCTCAGAGTGGATTGGGATGGAGCCAAGAACACCACAGCAGTATTTAATGTTAACAGCTCTCTAACTCTTAGACCCAGAACGATACCCTTCTCTGGAGAAAAAAACAGCAGCTACTCTCCTGTAGGTCTGACAGCTCATTCTTTTCATAGCTGAGTGACAGTGAAAAGTAACCAATATTCCTGTCTCTATCTCATCTCCCTCATGTTCACGCTCTGTCCACCACACTCTGGATTTGAATCTCCCTTTCTGTAGACCACCAGTGAATTTCTCTTACCCAAAGAGCCAATAATCGATTAGCTGCCCCAAGGAAGGATCCTGCTCTTTTCTCAGAACGATGCTTGCCAATTTTAGTGTTGATTCTTCTCCCCCACAATGCTGTACTTCCTGGTTCTCTTTCTTCATCTTGACTGTTTCTCATTGCTTTGAGGAATTTCTGCTGTCTCCACTCTAAGTACTGTTACTTCTTCTGGCCTGACATTACTTTCGTCTCTATGACTCCCTGTTTTAGACTGCATACCTTCCTGGGTAAAATTACTTCCCACTTTCAATAATACTTGGACCCATGAGTTAGATAAGAGCATATGACTTAACATCAAATCCCAGGCTCAGTCCCCAGAGTGTTAACAACTCTACCTGTGATGATGAACACGGCTAGAATTTATTTGGGTCCCGTCCCAGTCAACCACTTGCAGTGTCCTGACCACTAACATGACAAGTTTAAATTTAAAATATTTTCTACTCCCTTAAAGATTTAAGAATTATACATCAAGGCCGGCAATTATTGACACACTCGTATATAACAAAAAAGTGCGGAAATTAACAAGAAAAGTCCCCAAATCTAGATTGCATTAAAAGTTTTAGATTTCTCTTCATTAAGATCTTCTCAAAGGTTATTTCCTCAAAGGCAATGAAACTGACTAATTCACTGCCAAGATTTTTAACATGAATCAACTGACTGGATGATATGCTAATTTCCCTGTATGTGGGTGGCAGAGTGGAAATATCACCCAAAATTACAGTTTGTTTCTGTCACCACTGGGATTCAGACTCCACCCTGACTCCAGAGTACCCAGGACACAGCTTCAAGAAACAAAAGGATTCGATGCATTTCATATCTTGCACTGCTGCTTCTCTTGGAACATTATTTTGAAAACATATCCCCTCCCCAGATGCAATGAACTCCTCCTGCTGTGAACCTCTAAGGTGCTACTGTCAACTAAACCCCTGAGCTATAAGCACTTAGCTGTAAGCCCTAGCTCTGCAATCACTGGAAAAAGACCTTATGTAAAGACAGATTGTTTCTCTCTTCCAAGCGACCCGCTGAAGACCAGGCTGGGGTTCACTAGGTGTCAACAGATACCCACTCCCACTTGCCCTGCACCACACATTGTGATGATGGGAGTTCTTAGACACTGCTGCACCTGACAATGCCCCTGTACTCAACAACAGTTAGCACATATGTGTGTGCATGCATGCATACACACAGGCATACACACACACACACACACACACACACACACACACACATACACACACACAAGTCATGCTGAGTTCCAAAAAAGTGAAGCTTCCTTGCATAAGCTCGACAGCTCAAAACAGATTTCTATTCCAAAGTTTTCAGAGAGAAGGTATCAGGACAAATTAATTAGCCCAGCATTAATTAAACCTTGGAATGTACTTAGAATGTGCCTGGTAGGAGCAACTGGTTATGCAGATAATGCATAAGGCATTGTTGTAGTGTTCAGAAATGGAAACTTGGTGAAGTCCTATAATTAGGTAATGCTGGCTTGATACAGGTCACATAAGAATAAAGAATGTGTAATGTGATGGATGTAATTACTATGTACTGCAAACATGTACTAATACTTTAAAAAAAAAAAAGAGTGCATAACACACTATCTTTGTAGTTGTGTGAAGCCATAGACTAAATTCCACCCTACAGAATGGAAAGTAAGAACAAAAGCAATTTTCAACATGTTCCCTGAATGGGAAGATAACTGACTTTTCTCTCCCTTCCTTCATCCTGAAAATTAAAATTAGAAGACAAGCACTGGGGCTAGAGCTGCCATCTTGGACCATGGAGCCATCTGACAGAAGGATGCTGGCCTAGGATCATGCAGGGCCATACATGGCAAGAGGTAAGAGGAGAAAAAGGAACATCTATACTATTCAAGCATGTTACTCAAGACAGTTATTTTGGATGCATTTTGTCACCTTATCTAAAATTTAAATAATACAAATGAAGTGCACTGAGATCTCTTCATGTCTGAGAGGGTCCTTCCCTAGTCATGCAGAAATGGTGGTTAAAGGAAAGAAATGTTTCTAAGAATGAGTCTAAAGGATGATACTAAAATAGTATTCTTGCTTGAAGTCCCATTCCTGAATTTCCCAAGGATGTATTGAAGTGGTAAGCATAACTTTTTTTTCCAATTTAGCATAACGTTTTAGACACAAGAACAATCTATGAATAGTTGGAACATAAAAGCAGAACTGGAAAGCAACAAATGAACCTTTTGAAATCAGTATACACAATATTTCACTTCTTTCCTAGTGTTCCAGTGATTAGTTTGAGCTCCAACACTTTTGGTGCCATCCAGTCTACCTGAGAACACCTGAATAAAATCTACTTTCTCATCTATGCAAAGACCCAAGGGATGCAGCAAAGCCATGTGAAATCTCCAAACGTTGGAAAAGATCAGTGTTAAGACCAGAGAATCACTTGCAGGCTGCTGTGTACACCCGGACGGACACACAGAGATGAAACCACCGCACAAGAACACCTGCATTTTTTAGTCAAAGCAACTTTCATTCAAAGAAATACAAATTAATTTAACATGAATAAAATATCACTCAAATGGTAACTCTTCTTTTGGGGGGAGACTTACTGCTATTCAAGAGAAAGTGCAGTATATTAGACACAGCCTGTAACTAAGTCTGCACACTGCCAAGATCTCAGGGACAGAGGTGTCCATAGGATTGCTCACCAGTGCCTTTGTATCTGGTGAGAGAAACACTTGATCATATGGTGTATCATAAATGTCTACCGCACAAAACTTTTCCTTCATCTATCATTTAACTAAATTCTTAAAACATCCATGATCAGTGTTATGGTGGAGAGGTACACACTTTCTTAGGCAAATCAGAAACACCTCCAGATTTTCCCTAGGTGTCTCTAGCCCAGCTGTGTCAGGCCACATCCTCAGCCCACGCCTGAGGGGCCCTGAGAGCTGCACTGCAGTCTACTCAGAGGCCGCCACTGCCCCTGTTTTTCCATCAGGAGTGCTTGAGATACTGAAAAAGCACTTCATGAACCACGCCTCCAAATCTCTTTCTTGCTTTTCTTCTAACAAATGAAATTTTCAACTTTTGACTTTCTTCTAAGAATATGAAGCTGGAAAAGCTAATGGTAACTTAGGAAATACCACTTCCTCCAGAAAGTCTTTCTTCACAATTCACCCCAACTTAGAATAATTTCTCTACTTCCAAATTCTAATATCTAGAAAATATGGGCAAAATTTCTCTTACACTGAGTTAAGAGTATCATATGAATCCACAAAAAGTGGTAAAACCTAAATGAGACAGAGTGAAAGATAATTTTCCAAATCAAGAAATAAAATAACAGTCACTGGGAGCATCAAACCTTATATAATGCAATTTCATCATAATTTGAAGATGAGTACTAAACCTTTCAACTGTTACCATGAACCAGGAAAAATAATAGTTATTAGAAATATCCAATCTCATTAGTAGTTAGAAATACATATAATAAGCATATCATGCATTTTATTATAGTTTGAAGGTAAATACTAAAGCTTAAGTTGTGCCCTGGAATCAGGGACTTAGCTGAAGATTCTGATCAGGGCAGACACATTGTCTGTGTCCACAGGGCCTTATACTCTAGCAGAGGAAATGCCGTGAATTAACATGCTAGTAATATACAGAAACCAAATTTAAAAATAAAAAGAAGAAAACAAGTTCCACTATTAAACAAGAAACATAGCTGGATATTTGATCTAAGGTCACTAAAAGAAATAACTAGAAATAAAGAACTGGTCCTGCAGTGCCACCCACTTACACCAAAATAATCACGTTCTCATTCTTCTCAGCAGCTTTCAGTAACACCCACCTCGCCTCCTAACCTCTCTGGTTCTGGCGCCCTTAGGGTGACATCTCTTCTTTCGCTTGGCTTCCTGCCACTTCCCCTCCCTATTCCCAGGCATGGGCATTGTTAGCACCCTCCTCTGGGCTCTTCCCTCTTTGGGTAACTTCCCTCCACGAAACTTCCCAGGGACCCTGGAGAAGCAGAGATAGAACTCACAGCTGCCCCTGGGAGCCTGAGCAGCAGGAAATGCAAAGAGGCCTCAGCTCTGGGCTCCCCGGGGGCAGCAAGGAATAGGGACAGCCCACCCCCACCAGGGACGCAGAAAGTCACCCGGAGGAAAATGGGTTCCAGAAAAGCCTGGTGAAAGAGAAATCAAAGGAATGTTCTTCAAAAGCACCAGCACTCGCCTGCAGGGCTGCAGTAGAGTGGACCTCGGGGAATACAGGTGGCCCACAAATGGGTCATGAGAATGCTCCGCCAAGCTACAGTAATTCTAAGAGTGGTACTGTGAACCAAGGATCATCGCACGAGGTGTCTGCATTCACACAGAGTTATAAATTAGAACCTGGGTGGTTAATCAAATCAATACTAAAGAAACATGGTTCAAAATGAGGCTGCAAAAATTTTTTTCAGTCCACTGCAACTTGCTCTTCCAACCTAGCCATGCATTCCACAGTCACGCTTACAAGAAGAAGACCCTGAAGGCACCTTAGACCGGGTCCCTGACCAGCCCAATGATGGGCGCGTGATTTTACAGCGCTCTACAAATGCTGGGTCTCTGGCAGAGCAAAGAGCTGCATCTGATGCATTTCATCAGGGGAAATACCAGTGCAAACAATACAGAGAATATTTCTTTTCCCCATCGGAACACTTGTGTGCTTCCAAAGAGGAGCGCTTGGTTACGACAGGAAAGTAGGTTTAAAATGGAAATATTAAGATATCTGGACTGACAGTTCAACAAGCGAAGAAATATAGCATTGAATAAAGAAGATACTCTCTTGCAGGAGTGTGTTAGGTGCAGGAATAATAAAACAGAGTGCATAGAACTCTCCCTGCCCCAAATACTCTAGTAATCCTAGTGATCTTGTGAGAAAGATGAGACTGCAAAACCAGAACAAAATATTTATATATTTCCTTATGGAAATACTCACAAGAAGAGCCATAGCAATACAGCTGGGAGTGGCGGTGCATCCCTGTAATGCCACCACTTAAGAGGCTGAGATAGCAGGATTTCAAGGAGTTCCAGGCCAGCCTGGACTACATGGTGACTTCAAAGCCAGACCCAATCTCAAACAAAACAAACAAACAAAAAAAAACACAAAAAAAAATAGGGACAGAAATATAATACAATATGTAAGTATTTTGGTGATAAAATTGTGGGAAAAACAAACAAAAAACAAAAAAAATAGGGACAGAAATATAATACAATATGTAAGTATTTTGGTGATAAAATTGTGGGAAAAATTAGTGGATGGTATAGTGATTTGGAAATGGAGAGATTATTCTAAATTGGGGTAAACTGGGAAGAAAGACTTTTTGCAGGAAATTTTCTAGGTATTACTATCTTTTCCAATCTCATATTCTTGTGTGTGTGTGTGTGTGTGTGTGTGTGTGTGTGTGTGTGTGCCCAGGCTGGTTTTGAACTTGCAACAATCCTCCTGCCTCAGCCTCCCAAATGCTGGGATTACAGGCCTGTGCCACCACGCCCGGCTTCCAATCTCCTATTCTTAAGAGAAAGTCAAAAGCTGAAAACTCCATTTGTTAGAAAGCAAGCAAGAGAAAAGGAACAAGGGAAAAATAAAAATGAAATGAAACAAAATGAAATGCAACTCCTCAGCTTTAGGGAGCTGGCGTCTCTTCAGGCGGAGGAGAGCACGTACTTCAGGGCTCACTGTGCTTCCCGGGCCAGGCCCCTGGGAGTCTCCTCACCAAGCTGCGACTTACCCCTTCCTGGCTTTGGCTCCAGTGCCGCCCAAGTTCTACCCTCAGATCCTGACAAAAGGCCTCCAGGGATGCCATCTGGCTAACTGTTTATAAGGTCTACCCCTTTGAGAATTTTCTCCTTCATTTTAGTCACAGTTTTCTCCTTCATTTTAGTCACAGCACTTTCATTTAAAAGAAGACACAACAGGAAGGAGAAGCCGCCATGTATGGTGAACACAAAAGCTGATCTGGTCCCAGGAAGCCCCACCGGAACAATTTCTCTCTCATCCTCCTCCTCTTGTTCACTGTAATCTCACTTCCTCGTGTCTCAGTGTGTGCTTGTGTATCCTGTGGTTACTGATTTTCCACATCAGATTTAAAGGAGTTGTCCCAGGGAGGCAGTGTCCACGAGGAGGTGTTCGCACCTCAGACCTCAATGCCCGGGAACAGAAAAGTCTGGGTGGAGTCAGGAAGGCCCTGGCAAAAGGAAAACAGAGGCACCCTGCTCAGGGAGTCCTTTCATTGGCACACCCAGCACTGCAGAGGTGCAGGGAAGATCATACGGAAAAAACAGCATTTTAAAAAGTAAGGGTTCTTGCTGACCTGAGATTCTTGTATTACTAACCCTTACAACAGACTGCAAAAGTTACAAGAGGCACCCCTCATCTCCACAGAACCCCTTTTGTGCAGGCACGACTGCCACAGGGTGTCAGAAAGACCATGCCACAAAGGGGGATCACTCACCTATAATACAATTCAAATCACCAAGCAGTTCGGAGCACCTCCAGGAATCTGTGTGGCATGGTTTCTTTAAAGAGAGTCTATAGGAACAGGAAATCATTCTTTGATTCTACCATTACTGAAAACTAAACTGGAGACAGAGGCTACCAGCTTCACTAACAGTTCACTGCGAAAATATGCAAAGACTTGGATGCTGTTGGTACGGGACATCTGATAAAGCACAGCACTCACATAATCATCTCAACATACCTCTTGAAAATCAGGCAATGTCTGGCAAAATGTACTTCAGTGTTTCACCAAACTGAAGTTGACTCTACACTTGATCTGCATCTTGTCATTGTGAGTTTCTAGAAAAACCGCTAAAAGAAAAAACCTATTTTCCTATAAATATTGAAAGATCTGCTTTAATAATATAAAAGTTCCAAGTACTGTGTTTATGATTGCTTATTGCAGAAAGCTACATTTGTCAGAAATTTGTCTTAGAAAGCTGTGCTTGTTCACTTAAAGTTATGAGCCATTTTGTCATAGAAGGTTGATTTTTACGGGCCAACCTCATGATAATTAACTCACCATCTGTGACCTCACAGTATTTTGTAACTCCATCCAAATTTAATGACTTGACCTTATTTATTAGTGAGAGAACATGGCAGCTTGCACTGGCTTCTCTGAGATCAGCCTGTTGTAGAACTAAGATTCAAATTCTGAAGTTTGTCTATATGTCTGTGCTTTTTAATCCTGATGCTGCCACCTTCTTCTTAAAAAGGAAATGAGGGGGCTGGGGATTTAGCTCAGCGGCAAAGCGCCTGCCTGGCAAGCGCAAGGTCATGAGTTCGGTTCCTGGTACCGGAGAAAAACCAAAAAAAAAAAAAAAAAAAAAAAAGGAAATGAGATGTCAGAATATGAATAGTAGGATCAGCAGCCTCTTTCAAGCAGCAAAGAAGACTAACAGAATATTCTCAGGAATCATGAACATACTAGTTAATGAAATATTTTAATCAAATTCAAATTTATGAGTTAAGAGGTGAGAAATGGTATTAACGCAAAATTGAATTTTCAAGATTTTTAACACCCTTCCA